CCGTGTCCCCTGCATCGGCAGGCGGACTCTCAACCACTGCGCCACCAGGGAAGCCCAGGCCTTAGGTTTTTATCCAGTCTGACAAGGTCTGCATTGTAACTGGGGTTTTTGGATAGAGTGAATTTTAAAAATGAGGGGGAGAGGGGAGAGACTGGGTTGATCCCAGTGGGTATCAAATGACACGACTCTGTCTCCCCAAGTTAAATTAACTTTTAGAAACAACTCTTCCCTTCCCTGGGGAAACTTTCAGTCTTTTGTAAGAAACCAACACATAACTCAGCTGCTGCTCTTATTACTGGTAAGGGAATGTTTACTCAAAGCACGATGTGACTACATTCCTCAGCATCATTTCCCAATAAGAACTGGCTGTGTCACAACATTTCATGAACTATGTATGTCTAAACACTTCGAGCATTTTCAAGTAGATTACCTTGATTTGTTCACACTGCAGACAAGTGCAGTGGCACCAACTCACATCAATTTACAAGGGCATTTCTGATCATGACAAAAGCACTGATCTCTAGGTCAAACACATATGTTTGGAGAGGTTACAATGTACGTCTCCTAATAATCATTTGCTTTATGCACTGGATACTATTACTACTATAACGAACTTTTTTCACCTTGATCGTCTTTGGGATTCTGGTGTAAATGCAATGTGTTTTTCCTCCCAGATATCTTCCTCATCAGAGCCACCATCATCAAACTGCTGTATTCTTTCCTTACAACATGCTTCAAACAAGGCAATATTTCCCTAAATAAAAATGAGAGAGAGAAAATCAATTTTAAAATCAAGTTATTTTCCGCAAAAGTTACCAATGTAAATCATCTTCTATATACTTTAAAAAAAAAAACCGTGTCTATCACATACACCAAGATAAAATGTAAGCATCTAATGTCAGCTTCTGTGTAAGTAACAACAGAAAGTTCCCCCCAAAAGACTGGCTTCAAAACTAGCATACAAGAAACTGAGACTGTCTACATATACTCACTTTCATCTGGTGAAAGCACCATTTTAATTCTAAGAGCCTCCCTGGCCCACCTACCTAAGATGCAGCCCAGACCTACCCTAACACAAAGAGCTCTTCTTTTACCGGGCCAGCCTAGCAGTGATGAGTGTCATGGTCCAATCGGTTAGTTTCTAACTTATCACAACAGCAGATAAACCATTGGTGTCTCATGTTAAGTGACATAAAAATCAACACTGTGCCCATCCAAATGACACTAATCCTGTGTCAATCTGCTGATGTGGTTGACTTGGCGTTTCAGAACCGCCTGGCGATGAGAGGCTGGCCCTAATCTAGCCCAAGTTTCGCTCCTGGTGACGTTCAGCAGATGTAAGAGGCAGCAGGCTGGAGTCAAACAGCATTCTTTGAAGCTCAATATCTATACTGGTTTTATTAGCCTTGTCACATCTTAAAACCAGGGTTGAAAATTCACATGCCCACAGGGGCCAGGCAGGTCATGTGGTGGCTGAAGTCACAGCAATCTAAGACAAAGTTTCCTAGGGCGCAGGGGTCCCAGTGCACACAGCTCTTGCAGGCAGGCTCTGAGAGAACCCCATTCCCACTTGTCCATCTCACGTATGCCTTGTTGCTCGCGACAGGCCTTAATACTTACACTTTCATTTGTGTTGAGAGTGAAGTTGATGTCTGATACCCGATCAAAAGAAACACTGTAAACAAAATATAAGTGCAAGAATAGTTAATTATCTATAGACTCAGAAACAGTATTTGTGAAATTCTCCAAATTTAAAATATTTACACTATCATTAAAATCTGTTAAGTAACAACAAACAAACTCTGCTTGCATTAAATGATACCTCCTCCCTTGGTATAAGGAATTTACACAGGATGGGAAGGCTGGAATGGAAGCCTCTTGCGACATAATAAACACACCGTCGAAGCCTTCCTATAAAAGATTTTTAACACCCATGGTAGAAACCATGGTTCCATGGGCCATACTTCATTAACCCCAAAAAGGTTATTTGCAAAGAAGAAATAGGTCAAAGCACGAAAAAGGTCACAGAAGCTGTCAGACCCTGAACTTTCTCCAGGTATAGTCAAATTCATACATAAAACACAGATACCCCTGAAATCTTATGCTATAATATGGCACAGTTAGGAAGAAAGTAGGGAGTAAAAGAATTCAGAGCCTATTAAACAATTTTTGAGTAGGTGGGACTATTTTATAATCCTTAAAAGATCTGTTCTCATCAAACATTATTCCAAATACCCAATACAAATTCTAAAGAGACTATGGATTCCTAACTAGTAACTCTTTTTTTGCGGTACGCGGGCCTCTCACTGTCGTGGTCCCTCCCGCCGCGGAGCACAGGCTCCGGACGCGCAGGCCCAGCGGCCACGGCCCACGGGCTCAGCCGCTCCGCAGCATGCGGGATCCTCCTGGACCAGGGCACGAACCCGTGTCCCCTGCATCGGCAGGCGGACTCTCAACCACTGCGCCACCAGGGAAGCCCCTAACTAGTAACTCTTAATAAATGAGTCCAGACAGGCAAATGCTGAGATGCCACATGGGGGACTTGCGGGTTCTGGTGTGAGCGCTCCTGGGGTACAGACACAAACACCAAGTCCTTGCTCTTTCTGGATTTAAATGAGCCGATTCTTAGGGCAGCTGACAGCCTTCAACTACTGCTCTACTTACAGTGGAGCCTCCAGGCCCCTGTGCCAACACAGCATGCTGTTTGGCACAATTAGATTGTGATGGGTTAGCTTCTCACCTGCCATAAACTGCAACTTATGACAAACAACAGCCTCCGCTGGCTGTAGTTCAACCAACTACTGAGCATCTACTGCTAGTGGGGAGCCCTGAGAGATGCTGGGTGTTGGTGACCATCACCAGGGAGCCCCCGCTGAGAGAGAACTCGGCTGGTGAGCTGCAACACCCCTCTTGTAAATACTTCATTTATGAACACCTCTCGTTTCCCAAGGTCAGATGCTAGAGCACTTGCTTTCATTTCTGTGGACGGCCCACACATCTTCTATCCATTAATTCTGCACATTACCAATAATCCCCACTTCTATGCTCCTCTTT